GTTTTGTGTGATCCAGTGCTCACCTTTCCTTTTCTTTTCCTTTCTTTTCTATTATTTTCTTTTCTCTCCTTTTTTTATTTTTAATTTTTTAATTTCAGAATATTACAGGGATACAAACATTTTGGTTACATAACTTGCTTTTGTACAGTTTGATTCAAAGCTCTACATGTGTCCATCAGCCACACAGTGTGCATTGTACCCATTAGGTATTTATTTACCCAGCCCATCCTCCGCCTGCCACTGGCTTGATTTCTGAAGAGTGTTATTCCCATATGTGCACATTAGCATTGGTCAATTTGTTCCAATTTAATAGTGAGTACATGTGGCATTTGTTTTTCCATTCTTATGATACTTAACTTAGAAGAATGCTCTCCAGTTTCATCCAGGTTAATAGAGGAGGTATTAGTCTGCTGTTTCTTTAAATGGCTGAATAGTACCCTGTGATATACATATACCACATTTTATTAATCCACTCTTGTATTGATGTCCACTTGGGTTGCTTCCACAATTTTTTCTATTTCTTTTAAAATAAAGTCAGTGTTTAGGACTAAACAGGAGGAGATTCCATCTATTACAGCATTAGGTTAACCATATTTCAAGTTTCTGCCCATTATTTTGCTTCCACCCCGTGACTGCAGATGGTGCAAAAGGAAGTGAAAATAGAGCATCCTGAGTGTGTGTGTGCTTCTCTATATGCCTCTCTGAAGTTTCACATGGATAAGTGCCATCCAAAATTTAAAAGCAGGCATACAAATACCTTATTATTGTTCAGATAGCACCACTACAACTAAAATACTGTCCTCCTCAAAAATAAAGTTGCAATCTGTGAACCCTATTAATACACTTTATTTGCTGGTGTTTTTCACCAGTATTTCTGGTGAAAGCTTATGCATGGTTCAGTAAGATGTGCTTATGAACCTTTGTGATTATTTTCAAGTTGGTTAGAGTTAGTGTTGCCATCTTTAACTGTGAACTATCAATAAGCAGGAACTTGACTTGAGGTAAAGGAGATTCAGCTACAACTGTGATGGCAATAGCATCAACATCACGCCTAACCCAGATGGACTTCTGTTCCTCAGAGCAAAATAAATACACATGCCTGGACCTGATGCTACCTGTAGCAAGAAACAGCTGAGAATGTGTGCCCTACCGAATACAATAAATATGAGATGGAACTTAGTTTTCTAATTCATAAACTGAGAAAGTTGAATTAATCTGTGACCTATTTTAAACAATAAAAAGCAATTATATTTTTATTTTTTCCCATAATTATTGCATTTGGATTTAATGGCTAACACATATGAAACTGTTTATTTCCTCCTCAAGAATTGTTCCCACAAGACCATGGGTTTCTAGGTTGTATAGGCTGAAACAATAACACTTTTCTGTGTATGGTGGTAGACATATGTTTTTAGAAAACAACATAACAATAGATAATATGTGGAGTCTTTCTACATTTGCCTACACATCAATTTAACT